GAGAGAGAGAGAGAGAGGGGCAAAGATAGAGACAGGGTAGACTAAAACGGACAAATAGACATACAGATAGACAAACAGACAGACAGACACACAAATCTTACACACAAGCACTCATCTATACATATTATATTTGTGAAAGTCCGTCACTTTCGCCGTCTAAAACTTTGGAACTACTTAACTTTCGAATTTGACAAAGTTAATGGTGGTTCAGAATCATTTAAGGGTGTACAGTTTTATTGAGAAGCCTGAAGTCACTGTAATTTAATTTTCAGTTTTTCATTAGTTTTGTTTAGATCTAATCATGGGAAAGTCCATCTTATAAGATGCCGTTGTAAACAAGTGAGATTTCCGTTTAATAGCCGTGCGCACTGTTTCCACACCTTTGAAATTCTGGAGTGTACAACCACGAAAGTGGAATAGAGAATCAATCTATACATCACTATATCTAAACCTTCTAATTTGTTGCATCTCTCAGGATTTAGTGGCGTCGGTTGCCTACTGGTTAGGGCAACCGGACTCGTAATCGTGAGATTGCGGGTTCGGGGGTTCGAGCCTCAGCTCGGTCCGACGTTGTGTCCTTGGGAAAGGCACTTTACACGAACTTCCCACTTGGCTCGGTCATATTGGAGACGGACGTTAAATTAGGAGGTCCCGCCCCTTAAATAACCTAATAGTGTTGATAGGGGCGTTAAACCTATACCATTTCACCATTTTCACCAGGATTTATTGCTTCATTCCAGTAGAGTGTAAATATAATAGGCCAATGACTTTCAGTTGATGTTTATGCACCGATCATTCCTTCCATCTAAGGGGGCCCAGCTAGTACTAAGATATTTTGCACACATTCATACAGGGATACAGAAGTATAGGCATTGAGTGAAAGAGTATCTATAATATACAGACACAGATAGACACATACACACACACACACACACACACACACAAACAAACAAACAAAAATACACAGACACACACTCTCACCCCACTCAATCCGTTTCGTCTGACAATCTCAC